CACAGAGATAAACACCCTCTACACACTATTCAAAAGAGACAAAAGACCAGAAGATCACCTCACCAGCAATCATCACCCAGATAAGCAGAGATTACCACCAGGCACACAAGCAAGCAGTGAGCAATACCCCAATCAAGGAACCACCAGAGGAACAAAACAAAACCCACCCCCCCACCAACACTGGCAGGGCATGCCACAGTATATAAACAGAGAGCAAACCCCATCCCATTCCAGCACTGAAGATGTTACCTATCTGGGTAATGAAACATTTGGAAGAAAAGAACCAAGCTCAGAGAACCCCAAGGACTCCACAATGGAAAAGAATTAGGCATCATTGAGTGAAAACTATAATCAAATGATGCAGGCAGAATCCATGCTTCTGTTCTATTCTCCCAATTGACTTTTCATGTTTTCCCACTCTAACCCTGTGGCCACTGAGTATGCTCACTGTGGTAGCTGAGTTCTTCACATCCCCACTGATGGCTCTTTGAATTTCTGCAGCTTTGGACATATGGCTTGTACTCTTTTGGATAGAGACAGAGACAGAGATAGACACACACACACACACAACATCTTGGACATCAGCTTTTGGTTATAAGGTGAGAAAACACTGCACAGTGGACCTGCTAAGGATATGGCTTTATTTCTTTACTTCCACTATTTATATCTTCCTCCAGTCCTGACAGATGCTGGGTGGGTAATGATAGAATAAAATATAAAATATAAAACCCCAATAAATAAAATAACACATCACGAGACAGAAAGAAACAATGAATGGCTGAAAGCATGCTCAAATCATGCAAGCAGGGTTGGGGCCATCTGCACCATGGTGGGGAGAGAGTATTCCAAAGAGTGGGGGCCACCACTGAAAAAGGCACGCCAACTGGTGCACACCCATCACCCTAACAACAAGAGGGGAATCTCTTTAAAAAATACAATCTAGCACTTGCCAGACAGAAGCATTTCAAGTCTTACCCGATTGCCACTGATGTTTTTGAAGGCCCGGTAGATGTTGAGCAAAGTGATGTGATCCCCTTCACTGGAGATGAATTTCTTTCGGATGGCCTGGACTTCATCCCGACGGGAAGGAGGATTGTAGAGGACACTGTCCACAGAGAGCAGCGAGACAATGGTCAGGATCTCCTCCGTACAATGGAACTTGGGAGACATTAGGATCGTCTGCCAAAGACAAACACAAACACTACACTTGATCTTAGCCAAAAGGCATTGCCCTGCTCAGTTTTTGAGCTATGAAGCTCAGCTAGGTACTCCCACCTATTGAGTCCATGTAACGTTTTGCTGTTGCTTTTAATTGCTGTGAGCTGCCCATATGTGAGATGGGCGGTTATACAAATTGCATAACTAAATATATAAACATTTCCCTGAGTGCAAAACAGGGTGCAAGAGGCACAGTTACCCAACACTATTCTCTGAGACTATCCTTACAAGTAGAGATGGAAGTACTTTAAGTATCCTCTACTCCCAATTCACAAAAGTGGTCCAGAACAATTCTATGGAGAATATAGTGGTTAATGGTATCAAAAGCTGCTGGCTGTGGTAAAGTCCAGGGAGGGCTTCTTTAGGGGCAGGCAGTCTGCTAATTTCCTGAAGGCTGAAGGCATCACTCCATCATGAAAAATGCTTTATTACTTCCTAAGCCCACCCAGACATTTGGCTACTTGAATAAACCAAATTGGGCAGGGATCTAGAGAACACTTAGGCTGGACAGCTACAAGTGTCTTGTCCACATCCTCATGGTTCAAAAACTGAAAGACCAAAGGGTATGACAGATACCTCAATGTGCACTGCATCAAAAGCAATGTTCAAAAACACTTTATAACATTTTAAAAATCTAAGGAATCAATCCTCTTCTTGGACACATAAGTAGCTCAATGAAGATACAGTATGCTTAGCAAACACAGAATACTGAGTCTGGGTGAATTCAGTATTATTATTTAAATTTACTATATTATTTAAATTTATTATTGCATCACACTAAACCATAATTTATTGAATCAACCACTATGGGATAGGATCGCAACACATGGTAAGCCATAAAGCATGGTTTATACATCAAAACTGCTGGGTTCAGCCATCATGCTAAACCAAAATCAACTAACCAAAGCCCCACTTGGTGAATGGTGCCAAGTGTCAGTTGAATGATAAAAGTGAAAACAAGAGGAAAATGGAATGAAATGGCACCCAACTTTCCAATTTGTAGCACTCTATTGCGGACACTGCTTGTTTTTCCTTCCACTTCAAGACTTGTCTATTAATTCACTACATTTTATTCTGCAGTTCAATGTGACAGTCATGGTGCCCCACATTTTATCCTCATCACACTGGTGAGGAAGATTAAGTTGAAATGTGGCCCTTCACTAAAGGACACATAGAAACTTCAGAGCTGATTATGGATTTAAGCCTCTAATGCTAATACTATACTATAACTACTACATCATGCTGGTTTTTAATTACTTCAAGAGAACATCCACTGAATTAAAGGCCAAAAGCATATACAAAAATAAGGATCAGCAAGGCTGAAAAAACATCCAGTGTTTTGTGAATTCTTCTCTCTGTTGAAGGGGAGGAGGGGAGGGTTACAGGGAGATGACCCATAACTTAGCCTCCCTCCAAAATACTTGACTGAAGTTTATGCTTTGGTTTGGTGCATAAATCTGGAAATGAGAGAAAGTCTGTCGGTTCCTCTGCTGGATTCTATTCAAGGACATTCCCATAGGAATCCTATAACTAGTTTAACTTGTCTCCTTCCAATTTATTATATTATTAGGGGAGAATTATCTTCCTGTCTTTCTCCTCTTCCTTTCTACATAGCACTGTTCTTGCACTGGCAGAACAACATACTTCCTATTCAGTTTCAGAAGAAGAAAAGGATAGCTACAATTTTAGATGAGCATGAAATGGGCAAGAATGGAAAGATAGGCCCAGCCCTTTTAACTGGCATGTCCAAAAGAATCGCACATCTCAGTGGCTCAGCCCATTCAGAAATTTACCCAAACGACACATACTGAAAAGGAAAAGAGCTGTGTGTGAATTCAGCTGGGTTCTTATGCATTTTGTGTGTTGTGCATTTTACGATGACTTCCATAGAATTAGTATATACCAAATTTTGGTAATTCCGGGATGTGCCACCTAAGCCCATTATCTGACCTCAGAAAAAAACTTTTCTATCACAAAGTTCCATAAGGGAAGAGAAATAAAGCACACAAAGAACTTCTGCCTGTCACAGGGAAAAAGAAAGAACAAATGGCTGTGTTTATACAACATATTTAACCAAGTCAGGTAAAGACTGAGTAGATAAATTTGTACCACATACTATTTAGATTATAATTGATTAGGTTTATTTATAACTAGAAGTGTCGTATAAATTCAGACTACTTGATTAGTTTATGGCTCAGTGGAATGCACAATCCTAAAAAATGGGTTTATTCAGTAACCAGATTAAGTGCATTGTGTGAATACAGTCAATAATTATCAGGAAGAGAGATATGCATCAGATAAAGCACATGCTTTATGCAAAGAATGACCCAAATCAATCTTCTGTACCTCTAGTGTCAGGCTGCATAAGGGCTCTGAAAAGCCATTACTAGACAGAGCAGAAGAGACAGCTGTAGGCTGCATGAATCAAGTATCTGATGGGGAGATAAAACAGCTTTCTGTGGCTCTCCTTTTTCCTGCTAACCAGAGCTGGTCAAATCTGGGATGCTCCAGACGTTGCTGATCTACAATTCCTAGCAGCCTCAACTAGCTAGCATGGTCACTGGGGAGGATGTTGGCAACTGAAGTTGGGGGGAATCGTGGGGGAAGGGATGCTCCCACAAAGCTATGTGTCCTTAAAGTAACTGTATTTTATTATTCTACCTTAGCTGCCTTGAAGATTCTTCTGGATCAAAAGGTGGGGAAGAAAGGAATTGCAATTTGTTCTCATTGCAGTAAACAGATCTGTTCATTGTAGGAGCTTGATGGATGAACTCAAAAACCATTTCCCCCCCATGTTACAGAATGCAGTAAGAGAGACAATCTATAGAAACATGTCATGTTCTCAAGAAACTCAAACCCAGAGGAATAAAACTAAAAAAAGAGGCTAATGCATTTTTTCAGGGAAACAGAAACAAAAGTTAATATGTTACTTTGGAGAATTTGGGCTCGAGAGGAAATGCAGCCATCTTTTTTCCCAATGGGGTGAGGATCAGCAGGTCTTCTTTCTTTTCCACTGCACCCAGGAGAGCCAGCTGCTCTATGGCGGCCTGAAGCGCCTCTGTCAAGGCAAACAAGGATGAAACTCACGTGACCGACCTTTTCCAAGGCAACAAACCTCCAGAGTCCCAGCAAGAACTGAGATATTGTCAACAACTGTGTAAATGATCACCAGGCTTCTTGGGCTCTACTTCATACAGCAAAACCATGGGCTTTATCTACTGCGCCTTGTGGCCCTTCTGCAACGCTCCTTTAACCTGAAAGTTGGTGTGGTGAAAAAGTGTTGGATTGAGACTGCTGAGACTCAGGTTCAAGTTTCCACTCAACCAGAAACGTCACTGAGTATCGTCTGGGCCAATCACTCTTTCTCTACCTAACCTCTCTCAAGGTTTATTGTGAGGATAAAATGAGGGGCAACCTCATGTATGTCATCTTGAACATCTTACTGGAAAGGTGGGATATAAATGCAGTAATTAAATGAATAACCTGGTAGCTTGCTGATGTGCTGGGGATCTGGAGACAGGAGTGCAGTAGAAGCCACCATGATGTCACAAGTCATGACGTCATTGCACAAATTATGTAATTTGTCAGTCACACAATAATGTCATGATGCATGTGACATCACTAATTCCTCTTCCTCCCATTGTGGACACCCATGGATCTGGAGAAATGAAATCCATCTCATCCAAAGGCTTTCATTTAATCCCCAGTAT